AGGCCTTACTTTTGAACAAGTATGACTAAATTCAGAAATGCAAGTGCCTCCAATATCAAGGTTACCAATGTAAAAACAATCCAGAACTACACAATCATTTTACAAGTTCATTTTCCTGTGCATTCATGGTGTTCTCTTAGCATTAAAAGCAAGGGAAAAACTGGAAGGATATGAACCTATGTGGAAATCCTGGTGGTGCAGTGGGTTAACCGCTGAGCTGTTAAACTTGTTGACTGAAAGGTTGCAGGCTCAAATCCGGGGAGCAGCGTGAGTTTCCGCTGTTAGCCCCAGCTTCTATCAACCTAGCAGTTCGAAAACATGCAAATGTGAATAGATGAATAGGTACCACTCCGGCGGGAAGGTAATGGTGCTCCATGTAGTCATGCTGGCCACATGACCTTGGAGATATCTATGGACAACACTGGCTCTTTGGCTTAGAAATGGAGATGAGCACCAACCCCCAGGGGAACGACTGGACTTAATGCCAGGGGGAAAACATTTACCTTTACCTTAGAAATCCTCCATAGATTTCACTTTGTTCACATGATCACCAATTGCTCACTTCTCTTCGTATTTCTGATTGTTTGTGAGATTATATTTGTTTTTAATGCATGGATGGACAATTCAGAGTTAAGAGATGTTACTGAATGGCAACACCCATCAAACCTAGCCAGCAGAGTCAAGTGACAGGCAAGACATCTACGCTGACATGAAGAATGTATCCGGTTTCCTGTTGTTTTGGATTTCAGCTTCCAGAATCCCTCAACAAATAGAAAAATGGGAGCCGGAAAACAAAACATATGAATGGTTAAAGGTACTTAATCCCAGCTCTAAAGATACAATTCATGGGCTGCACCCAAAGTTTAGGGATTCTTAAATGTGACTCCTGAAGTCACATTTTACTGAGGGGTAGCTTCCCCCCCCCCCAAATTGTCCATGGTCACCAAAACTGTCTGAAAATCCAATAAATTGTTTCCTACCACCCAAACTTTCCCCAAAGTCCAAGAAAAATAAAAGCCAAAATGGCAGCCCAAAAGGATGTTTTCTTGAATGTCGTTTTTAATAACATTTTTCTTCCTATGTACAGCACTGGAAATGTTCCTGCTTGTATGATCTGGCTTGCCTCAAGTACAGAAGGGTGTCCTTTGTAATTTTACAAATATACAGGAATGTCTTTTTCCTTAGGTCTTGGAGATGAATGATAAAAAACAATGATAAAAAACAAAAAAAATGATAGTTTAACAAGAGTTCCTAAGAAAGATCAGACCGTGAAGCTTTGTAGCAACATCAAGCCAAAGGAAATGCCCGATTCCTTTTCCCCTTCCGTATCCTATAATCCTAGCCAGCATCAATTCAGGCATGCCAAAATGTGCCAGTGCAGCCTGGCAGGTGGAAAGGGATGCTCCCAGAACCTGTAAAAATGCACACTCCTATCTTATCCAAACTCACAAAATGATCATAAGCTGAACAAAGATCCAGCTGACATTTTCTACAACTGCAAAATATGATTCTTTTCAAGTGTTGGGGAAATGGCATAATAGAGCTTTCAAAGGGTTCACGGACAAAGATATTTGGAGGCTCTGCAATGAATGACAACCAGAAATGAACAAGGTGTTGTTAACTCATCACAAATTATGCAGTCAGGTTTCCATGTTTGGGGAAAATTCAGAGTTTCAGGACACCAAAGGTGCAAAGTATGGATCTCGCTTCGAGTAAACCACCTTCACGATCATGTTATTCTGTTGTGCCTTCAAGTCCAGCCTGACTTATGGTGACCTTGTCTCAAGGTTTTCTTGACATAAATTATTTTGAGGAAGTCGGTCACTGTCTTTTCTTAAGGCTGAGAGGTGTCTAACATCATGAAGTGGATTTCTAGAGCTATGTAGGAATCTGAATCAAGGTCTCCTGGTGATCGAACCAATTATTCTAGTAAAGATTTTCCCTTGACAGTATGTCTAATCGTGTCTGACTCTTGGGGATGGTGCTCAACTCCATTTCTAAGGCAAAGAGCCGGCATTGTCCGTAGATGCCTCCAAGGTCATATGGCTGGCATGACTGCATGGAATGCTGTTACCTTCCTGCCAGAGCAGTACCTATTGATCTACTCACATTAACATCTTTTCAAACTGCTAGGTTGGCAGAAGCTGGGGCTAACAGCAGGAGCCCACCCCACTCCGCAGATTTGAACTGCTGACCTTTCAGTCAGCAAGTTCAGCAGCTCAGCGGTTTAATCCACTGTGCCACTGGGGCTCCAATTATTCTAGGTTTTGGCTAGTTGACAAAACCAAGGTTTTAGAGATATAGTACAACTTCCTTATCAATGGATTCAATATCCATGGTTACCGATGCTCCAAATATATAAATACACGCACACACCTTTCTCCAGAAGTGTCGGTGAACCTTTCTAGGACCTTTAGTTCTAGTCTATTGTGAGTATTCTGTCCAAGTATAGTCAAAATATAAGATTTGCAGTTATCCATGGGTTATATGGTACATACAAAATAATTTATGCAATGAGATACCTTGGAGATGTGGCCCAGATCTAAACACGTGCTTCATGTATGTTTCATATACACCTTATAAACATAGCCTGAAGGCAATCTAATATGCAATATCTTGAATATTTTTGTGCCTGAAGCAAAGTTTGTATCTATCAAGTCATCAGAAAGCAAAGGTGTTACTGTCTCAGCCACTCGATTTTGGGATTCCGAATAAAGCTTTTTATGCAGGTTTATAAAAGCAGCCTGTACTTGCTGAACATCCAGGCAAGAATCCCTGACTGTTTGGCGGTTTTAACTATCTTATCACACAAACAGGAAAAAATAATTGCAGCTACAGAGGGAAACTTTTCCCTGCACCTCATGCTCCCTTTGCACACACACTTTTACACACACAGGGGACTGTCCTTTGCAGGAGGGAGTATACAGAGAAGGCAGCAGTTGGCTCAAAAGGAGGGACACACTCTCAGCCTCAGTAGGAAGAGAAAGGCAAAACTCTTCTGAATTAATCTTGCCACTAAAGTCAGAAACAAATTGAAAACACATACACAACAGCAACCAACACACTTGCCACCAAGAGTTCTCTACTGTAGAATAAATGCTGTTTAAGACCACTTTTGTTGTCATGGATCAATAATAAGGAATCTGGGGAGTTGTCGGGGTTTTGTTTCCAACAAGGAGTGTTTTATGTATTTTAAATAGATTTTTAAAGACTCTAAGATTGGTTGTTGTAAGTTTTCCAGGCTGTATGACTATGTTCCAGAAGCACTCCCTCCTGACGTTTCACCTCATCTATGGCAGGTATCCTCAGAGGTTGTGAGTCCTGCTGGAAACTAGGAAAAAGGAGTTTACATATCTGTTGAATGTCCAGGGTGGGAGAAAGAACCATCTGTTGGAGGTAAATGTTTCAATTGGCCACCTTGATTAGCATTTAATGGCCTAGCAGTTTCAAGGTGTGGCTTCTTACTGCCTGGGGGAATCCTTTGTTGAAAGGCGATTAGCTGTCCCTGATTGCTTCTTGTCTGGAGTTCCCCTGTTTTTGAGTGTTGTTCACTCAAAGCTGGTTCTAAATTTGTTTTTAAATCACGCCTGGTTTAATTCTATTTTAGCACTCCATTTTCCTAAGTTTTATATTGTATTGCTTTTAGGACTGTCGGCTGCTTTGAGTTTCTCTTAAGAGAGAATCAGCGGCATACAATAATAATAAGTGTGATCCAATACAACAGCCAGCAGAGTGATCTTGTTTGCTATGTACTAATCTTGTTGAACTTCCAATAATAATAATAATAATAATAATAATAATAATAATAATAATGGCCACCTTACTTGGATCTGCGTGCATCATTCAAAAATACATCACACAGTCCTAGATGCTTGGGAATTGTTCGACTTGTGATTTTGTGATACAAAATCCAGCATATAGATTTCGTTTGCTGTGACATACTGTGCTTTTGTCTCAATAATAATAATAATAATAATAATAATAATAATAATAATATGAGTCAAGGTGGTTCTAGTGGTGATTGGCATACTGGGTGCAGTGCCTAAAGACCTTAAACACAATCGGCGTTGACAAAATTACCATCTGCAAAAGGCCACCCTACTGGGATCTGCATGCATTATTCACTGATACAAGAGTTGCCTTCGGGTTGAGAAAGGTGGGATAAAAATGTGGTAAATGAAATAAATAAATACATCACATACTCCTAGACACTTGGGAAGTGTACTCATCTTGTTGCGTTTCAAATAATAATAATAATAATAATAATAGCAATAACAATAATAATCGCTCTCTCTGTACAGGAATGATGTCTCACCAAACTACAAATCCCAGGAGCCCATAGCTTTGAGGAATGCAGTTAAAGTGGTATCAAGCTGCATTCAGTTTACAGTATAGAGCAGGTATGGGCAAACTTGGGCCCTCCAGGTGTTTTGGACTTCAACTCCCACAATTCCTAGCTGCCTCAGGCCCCTTCCTTTTCCCACTCAGACACTAAGCGGCTGAGGGGGAAAAGGAAGGGGCCTGAGGCAGTTAGGAATTGTGGGAGTTGAAGTCCAAAACACCTGGAGGGCCCAAGTTTGCCCATGCCAGGTGTAGAGCCAATTACATTTACTTTCCAAGGGTGCATCTACACTGTAGAATTGGTACAGTTTGACACCATAGAATCCTAGAGTTGGAAGAGACCTCATGGGCCATCCAGTCCAACCCTCTGCCAAGAAGCAGGAAAACTGCATTCAAAGCACTCCCAACAGATGGCCATCCTGCCTCTGTTTAAAAGCCTCTAAAGAAGGAGCCTCCACCACACCACTTTAACTACTACAAAGGCTGAATGCAATTGAAACATGGGAGTTGTAGTTTTACAAGCCACCCCCCCCCCCTCCTCTTTTGAGTCCCAGGATCTCTTAACATTGAGCCACGGCATTTAAAGTGGTATCAAAATGCAGTATCGAGGGGTGTCCTCCTGGAGGGTCCTGCTCCGCTTGCCCTGCCTGCCTCCTCACCTGGTCTCCTGGTTGCTGAACTTCTTGGTCACGACTTTGCCCAGATCCAGCCCCAGCCGGTCTGCCACGCGCTGGGAGAGGTCCTGATGCGAGCTGCCGCTGAAAAGCACGATGTTGGGCATGGCGAAGGCGAGGGACGCGGAGCCTGGCCTGAGCTGAGCTGGGGAGGAGGAGAAGAGGAGGAGGAGGAGGAAGGCCCCAGAGAGAGAGAGAAAGGGAGAGAGCGCGCAGGCAAGTCAATGCCGGAGGCCACGCCCCCTCCGCCCCAGGCCACGCCCTCTCCCCGCCACATCGGGAAGGACCTCTTCCTCCAGGATCCAGAGGTTCGGCCGGGGCGGAGCCGTGACGTCACCAAAGGGGGAGGGGCTTGAAACTGCCTCCTAGAGGGGACCATAGAGGCGTGAAGGTGAAAAAAATTAGAAGAGTGACGCAACCTTCTTCTTTTTTTTTGTTCAGTACCTTCAAGTTCACTTTGAAAGTTCCCTAGTTTAAGGGCTTTTTGCAAAATCATAATCATAACAACAGCAAATGACTAAGTTTGAGTTTGATAGATCTTATAGAAGCAACGTAATTTTAAAGAGAGAGAAGAACAGAAAGGAAGAAACCATGAAAATGAACAGAATCTGGCTACTAGTATTAAAAAACTCAAAAATTACAACAGCAAAACAACAGAGGGGAAACAAACAGGCGCATAAAATCACTCTCAACAAAAGATTCCCCCCAGGCACTTCCAAGCCATTGAATGCTAATCAAGGTGATCAGCTGAAACATTCACACCTAGTTCCAGCAGACAAAAGTCCTTTGTCTCACCCTGGTCATTCCACAGATATATAAACCCATTTTTCCTACTTCCAACAGACCTCACTACCTCTGAGGATGCTTGCCATAGATGCAGGCGAAACGTCAGGAGAAAAATTGCCTCCAGAACATGGCCATATAGCCCGGAAAAACCTACAACAACCCAGAGAGAAGAATTTCCTGCCCCGGAGTGTGGTGGAGGTTCCTTCTTTGGAAGCCTCTAAACAGAGGATGGATGATCATCTGTCAGGGGTGCTTTGAATGCAATTTACCTCCTTCTTGGCAGGGGGTTGGACTGGATGGCCTACAAGGTCTCTTCCAACTCTAATAATAATAATAATAACAACAACAACAACAACAACACTTTATTTGTACCCTGCTACCATCTCCCCAAGGGACTCAGTGCGGCTTACATGAGGCTGAGCCCAAATACAACAATACAAGCAACAATAACAACAATACAAGCAACTAAAATTAAAAAAAACATAGACAATAAAATATAAGGTAAAGGTAGTCCCCTGACATTAAGTCCAGTCATGTTTGACTCTGGGGTGTGGTGCTCATCTCCATTTCTAAGCCGAAGAGCCGGCGTTGTCCGTAGACATCTCCAAGGTCATGTGGCCGGCATGACTGCATGGAGCGCCGATACCTTCCTGCTGGAGCGGTACCTATTGATCTACTCACATTTACATGTTTCCGAACTGCTAGGTTGGCAGAAGCTAGGGCTGACAGCGGAAGCTCACATCGCTTCCCGGAATTGAACCTGCGACCTTTCAATCAACAAGCTCAGCAGCTCAGTGCTTTAACCCACTGCGCCACCGGGGGCTCCTATACAACATTAAACAATAAAATATACAATAAAATATACAACATTATCAATAAGACCACACACAATTAAAAACAGTGGGAAGGCCAAATGTAAGGTTAAAATTGGAAGTAATGCTGGGACATGGACGAAAAGGTGATAGTGGTGTTTGTGGAAGGGCATATGAGCAGACCTAAAGAATGTAAAGTGCTTTGGAGGACAAAGTGCTATGAGATCATTATTCCGGGAAGGCACACTGGAACAGCCACGTCTTCAAGCTCCTCCTGAAGACTTCCAGAGTTGGAGCCTGTCTGATGTCTTTCGGGAGTGAGTTCCAGAGTCGAGGGGCCACCACCGAAAAGGCCTTCTCTCTATCATTCTATGATTCTATGAATACGTCGCCTGTCAGAGCCTACAAGAAAGTTAGAAGCCATTTTATATTCAGGACAGAAAATTAAGAGCAACACTCAGAAAACAGGGGAATTCCAGACAGAAAACAATCAGGGCCAGTTTACACCTCCCAACAAAGGATTCCCTCAGGTAAAAACCAGCCGGGCTTTGAAGCTGCAAGGCTATTCAATGCTCATCAAGCTGGCCAATGGCAACTTTCACTCTTGCCTCCAACAGACAGGAGTTCTTTCTCCCACCCTGGACCTTCCACAGATATATAAACCCCACTTGCTTTGTTTCCAACAGGCTTCACAACGACTGAGGATGCCTGCCATAGATGTGGGCAAAACATCTGAAAAGAATGATTCTGGAACATGGCCATACAATAAAAAAAAAACTCAACCTTTCCATGCTAGAAGAATCCTTGAATTAATTTTCTGGTCTTACAGGATCCCTGCATTGAAATTATGACATTTGTTTACTTTTCCCCCAATCATGATCTCTCATGGGACCCTGAGTGACCTCATATGGAAACCCGTGGGCCTTCAAGTCATTTTTTTGACTAATAGACACCCTATCACAGTGTATTCTTGGTGAGATTGGGATTTTGGCAGCCTTGTGATGGTGGGCGGGGTTACCCCCCAATCTTCTCCACCTAGTGGTTCTACGTAGACTCCACACAATGCTCTGTGCAGGCGCAGAATACAGAGTTGTGTGAATTCACAGATGACCACTCGAAGAAATACAGCCGCAGGTAAGCAGCCTGTACTTATACAGTGAGTTTTGTGCTTTCCACAACACAAAACTCTTGCTCCTTTATTGTCGGCCGCAGCAGGATGGAACTGGAGAAGATTATGGGAACACTCTAGGATAGGGTTACACGACCACTGTCCAGGCAATGCAGGCCAAACCTATGAGCTTTCCCTGTACGAGAATGTATCTTAGGCCCTTTCTACACGGCCATGCTGCAAGTCGCTTTGGGTCACTTCTAGTGTGAGAGAATCAGCCGTCTACCAAGACATTGCCCAGGGGGTGCCCAAATGTGTTGCAGTCCTGCAGGGAGGCTTCTCTCATGTCCCCTTCTCTCATAGTAAAGACATCTACCCTTATGCTTTGCTGTTCATGCCCAGTGTGGAACACATCTCACCACGCTAAAAGAGTGGATGTGGCTCTTAATGAGACATGTCGCATTATCACAGGATGTCTGCGCCCTCCACCACTGGAGAAACTATAGTTTTTAGCCAGAATTGCACCACCTGACATCCGCTGGGAAGAAGCAGCCAACAATTTATTTATCGTGTCATCCGCAACCAGAACATTGTATTACATTTCTAACAGAACAAAACAAACAAACAGATAAAACCCACAAATTTTGCAAACTTGGTAGCTGATTAAATGTCCTTTGACCAGTATCTGGCCACTTGGAGTGCCTCTGGTGTTGCCGCAAGAAGGTCCTCCATCAGCAGCCAACAATGAAATGGTCCTTCCATTATTCTACAGTGTAGGTGGGAAGGGCACGTGACCCTTCATGAGTGCATCCATCTACACTGTAGAACTGATGCATTTTGATACCACTTTAAATGCCATGGCTCAATATTATGAGATCCTGGGACTCAAAAGAGTGGGGGAGGGGGGGCTTGTAAAACTACAATTCCCATGATTTCATTGCATTCAGCCATTGAAGTTAAAGTGGTGTCAAACTGTACCAGTTCTACAGTGTAGATCAGGGGTCCTCAAACTTTTTAAATAGAGGGCCAGGTAACAGTCTCTCAAATTGCTGGAGGGCCGGATTATAATTTCAATATATATATATATATGAATGAATTCCTATGTACACGGCACATACCTTATTTGTAGTGCAAAAAAAAAAAAACCACTTAAAAACAATACAATAAATAAAATGAAGAACAATTTTAACCAATATAAACTTATTAGTATTTCAATGGGAAGTGTGGGCCTGCTTTTGGCTGATGAGATAGGATTGTTGTTGTTCTGTGCTTTCAAGTAGTTTCAGACTTAGGTTGACCCTGAGCGAGGGCCGGGTAAATCACCTTGGAGGACCGTATTTGGCCCCCAGGCCTTAGTTTGAGGATTCCTGGTGTAGATGAATCCTTGGAAAGTAAGAGTAATTGGCTGTACACCTGGCATGGGCAAACTTGGGCCCTCCATGTGTTTTGGACTTCAACTCCAACCATTCCTAACAGCCTCATGCCCCTTCCTTTTCCCCCTCAGCCACTTAAGCGGGGAAAGGAAAGGGCCTGAGGCAGTTAGGAATTGTGGGAGTTGAAGTCCAAAACACCTGGAGGGCCCAAGTTTGCCCATTCCTGCTCTAGAGAGAGGCAGATAGAGGCCCTGAATGGCAGCCATGGCGAGGGCTTCCACGTAAGTCAAGGAATCCATCAGAGTATTCAAGTTTTTTAAAAAGAGGGGAGGGGGTGACACAAATCCCTCGCAGGACTGCCTGCGCCTTCCTCTGAGGCTGAGAGAGTGGGACTCAAGGTCAAGAGAGAGTGACAGGCACAAGGCTACAGTCTGAAAAAACTTTATTTCAAAGGGAGGATTGTTTGCACCTTCCTCTGAGCCTGAGAGAGTGTGACTCGAGGCCAAAAGTTTGTGACTCGCTTAAGACAACAATGTCTTAAACAAGGATTTCACAAGCGGGCTTACTGTGCTGTCCTATGTCTATCTCCTTGGAAAGAAGTCCTGACTCAATCAAATGGGACTCATTCCCAGCCTTAAGCGGGAGAGAGCAATTCCAGGTGGATGGATTTCATTAGTAGTATATGTTTTAATGGTACATTTCTCATTTGATTAATTTCCTTTTTTGAGTATTCCTTAAAAATATATTTTCTAAACTCATTTTTATACCTTTAGTATTTATTTCCATCCAATCTGTATCAGTTTTGTTTAACATCCCTTCTACATGTCTCAATTGGTTTATTTCATAATAATTTTTAATTTTGGGTAGTCCTAATCCTCCTCCTTTTTGTGGTTTGTACCAGTAGCATTATGGGGGGGGGGGCAGTGGCGCAGTGGGTTATACCCCTGAGCTGCTAAACTTGCTAACCAAAAGGTTGCAGGTTCGAATCCGGGGAGCAGCGTGAGCTTCCGCTGTCAGCCTCAGCTTCTGCCAACCTAGCAGTTCAAAAACATGCAAATGTGAGTAAATCAATAGGTACCACTCCGGCAAGAAGGTAACAGTGCTACATGCAGTTATGCTGGCC